TCTGAGGGCTTTGTGCCTGCCACAGGGATACGAGCCTGGTGCTGGGCCCTTCCTGCCAGTCCCCAACCCTCGAAGCTGTCTGAGGTAACTGCAGGTGCCGAGAGCCCTGCAGAGAGCCGGGCCTGCTCCTGTCTGTCCACAGCTGGAGCTTGATGTCTGCACATCTGGCCGGAGGTTGGGGTGACCACGGAACTCACAACCTGTCCCCTGTCCAGCCAACCCATCATCCATGGGGAACACTATCCTCGCCTGCTTGTCTGGGGCCGGTTAGGCCCCTCTGAGTCCCCTGCTCTCTTTGTGGGATCACATCCTTCGCACAGAGTGAGCAGAGTCACCACAGGAAGAGCAGAGGACCCGGCTCCCAGGCCGGGCTAGGGAGGCCAGGGGCTGGGTGATCAGGATGGGCCGTGCAGGTGGAGGAGGGACCCCTCTGTGGGCTCCCCACTGACCAAGAGTGATGCCCGCGTGTCTCTGCTGCAGGTGACCGAGGAAGCTCACCGGCTGCTGCAGCGGGCTGCGTACCGCTTCGTGTGCCGAGGCAAAGTCAGCGTCAAGGGCGAGGGCGAGATGCTGACATACTTCCTGGAAGGCAGGACCGACGGAAACGGCTCCCAAACCAGGTCCATGAACTCAGAGCGGAAAATGTGTCTTTATGGAAGAGGTGGCTTCCAGAGCAGACTGGCCACGGCCCACCCCCCAGTGCCCCCTGATGCCAGCCTCTCAGTCAGAGCTGGGATGGGGGCTCTGCAGGGCTTGGGGTTCACCCCCTGCCCCCCAGGTCAGCACTTGCCCCCTGGAGCAGCTGGGAAGGAGGCTTAGTGGAGCCCAGAAGGGCTACTGGGGACACAGGGCACAAATGCTCGGGGCTTCAGGGGCCTCAGGCTCCTGCGGGGACCAGCCCGGGCAGCAGAGCAGGGCCAGGGGCCAGCGGCCAGGCTGGAGAAGTCACTGTCCAGGCACGGCCCCAAGCAGCTGGGCAGCGACTCCAGTGAGGGGACAGCCCTGGCCACACGGACGCCAAGGCTTTCCCGGCGGCTGTGCCTGTTCCATCCACTCCTCGGTGCCAGAGGGAGGTTGGCCGGGTCAGTATCGGGCACCGGGACCTTCAGAACATCCACCAGGGCTGCAGGCTGTGGGGAGAGCCCTGGAGGTCTG